TTGCCCAAATAGTCACTGAACTTTAAGTCATACTTCAAAGAGGTCACTGAACTTTCAAAATCACCCAAGTTATCACTGAACTTTGCAAAAGATTTTCACGAGATCACTGAACTTTCAAAATCACCTCATTCAACACTAAACTTTGTAAAAGGTTCCCCAGTGGTCACTAATTCAGTGATCTCCTAGGAAACATTTTGCAAAGTTTAGTGATCCCGTATAAATATTTTGCAAAGTTTAATAATGAATTAGGTAATTTTTAAAGTTCAGTGACTTCGTGGAAACCTTTTACAAAGTTTAGTGACGCCTTGGATGATTTTTAAAGTTTAGTGACCCCTTGGAAACATGGCGTAAAATTCAGTGACTATTTGGACAATTCCCTCTATTTCACATGAAAGGTGTGAATGAAATTTAGATGTCTGACATTAGGGTGTGAAGTTGAAATTTTCTCAATGTGCAGCTTGAAAGAAATTAACTTCAGATACAAGTAATCAATGCATAGACATCAATGCATTTGAGCTCCTGTCATGAATTTGCTAAGTGAGAAAAATTCTGGTTTGTTTTATCTCTCTTCGGGAACTTCAGAAACAAATTAAAGCTGATCTAATCTAACTTGAATTTGTCTTCATCAAGATAACAACACTTTGTTTGAACAAGTTTTTGCTCAATCCCAGTTTGATTGAATAGAATCATCAATCAAATTATATTTTGAAAAGAGGTATAAGATATTTCATTAAGCAATTGAGAAAGAAAATAAGAATAATGGGTCTAATGTAATGAAAGATGACAATAAGTTGCTTTTTAGGATAAAAAGAAGATTGATCCTCCCTTGGTTCACACTTTTGCCACTAATTTAAACAAAAATAGGGAAAGCCAAACTGTGCGCCACAGTTTCAAGACCTATAATAACTAAGGCTCTGTGCTGCAAAGACAGGAAAAAAAAACAAGTGAATTCTAGTTAAACTTTATCTACAGATAACAAGACTTTAAACTATCCCTTAATTCCACTCCAGCTCAATGATGCGTTATTAACTGTTGCAAATTTCAGGAAAAGAAAGTTCTTGACAATCTAGTAAGAAAGTCGTGTCTTTTTTAATTAAAGAAAATAAGACTGTATTGAAACCAGCTCCCGGACCATTTATTTTTTTATCCAAATTTAGGTCAAATTACAGCTAGACAAAAAACTAGCAGTCCAGGATCAAGCAATTTGCACCGAACTAGCTCCAGCTATACGTAATTTTAAGATTTGCAAAATACTATGGAAGCCCTGTTCGAGTAATATCTCATATAAAAGCTTTTACAGATTAATTAAGGTGCCAGATCATACAGGATTATTGAAATCACTGTCCTGGGGCTTTCAAGAAACACAAAAAGACAAAATTCAAATTTAGCTTAAAGAATTTAAGTTCAACCAAGAGTATCTCAATTTTCAAGTAAAAGGCACTAAAATAATTATAAGCTTTGAAATTAAGAAGCAAATCATTTTCTTCCCATGTAGAAGATGTAATACCCCTCCCGGGAAAGCTTGAAAGATTTGATAGGTACTACCCATACCAACAAGATGCACCTTCTTTTCCGGAAGTCCATCGTTAGAAACTCTATAGTTAAGCGTGATTGGCTTGAAGCAATTTTATGATGGGTGACCCCCGGGGAAGTTTTATAGGGAAGCGTGCGAGTAAGGACAAAGCATGCTGAAAAGACCCATGTTGGTATAGTGGGGACAGTACGTCGTCGATCTAACGGTCAGGACAGCCCATTACGTGGGACTCGGGTCGTTACAAATGGTATCAAAGCCTGGTTGCCAGCCCGAAATCGGGAACTAAGTGCTATGCGGGACAAAGTGCTACGCCATAGGGCGGGAGCCACCTCTTCAACCCGTAGGAGCCACCTCTAGAATCCTAAAGCTTGGCAACGGATCCTCAGATGAATCAAGTGCGACGAGGACGTCGCGAGTCTAACGGGGGTGATTGTAATACCCCTCTCGGGAAAGCTTAAAAGATTTGATAAGTACTACTCATACCAACAAGATGCACATTTTTTTCCGAAAACCCACCGTTAGAAACTCTACAGTTAAAGCGTGCTTGATTTGGAGCAATTCTATGATATGTAACCCCTTGAAAAGTTTTCTCGGGGAGCGTGCGAATGAGGACCAGTACGTCGTCGATCTAACAGCCGTACAACCCGTTAAGTGGGACCCGGGTCGTTACAGAAGACAAGTTGGCTTAAAGTTCAGTATCATGCAATGTACAGATTATCATACAAAATTCAGCATTTGAATCAAAAACAATTACCCCAAATTAATGTCAACATAATCACAGTAAGGCTCCACCCTCCGTGCTGCCTGCAACAAAACATCTGGATCATTCGCACAAAATTGCACGAATAGCGGCCTGTCCTCCTGTCATTTCACCACCAAATCATTCTAAACAAAATCGAATCTAATACTCAAAATACATTACTATGTCAATAACATACCTTGCAGGTGGTGAATTCTTGAGAGCGATATTTTTCGGTTTCAGTGAAGATTCTGGAATGAAGCATGGGAGTGTACGCAGCTTGGGCGCCGTACTTTCGGCAAAGCATACGGAAGGGTAACTCGGAGTTATCGACCATGGGAGCCACAATTAGTTTGGGCTGGCCCAGCTTCTTCCAGTGAACCCAGGCCCGCTCGATACGGGACTCTCCGGTCAAGTAACCGTTTGGACTGCCCAAATGGAAGGCCCCTTGCTCGGATTGCTCAGTCGTCGGGGCGGTAAAATCGGAGGAACAGAGGCCGTCATCGTCTTCGTTGTCATTGAGGGCTTGGGAGGATAATGGTCTGGTTTGGGTCGCCATAAACGGATTCGGGTGAAACCTGGTGGGGGCAGAGAAAGAGGACAACGGTTTGAATTTCATGTGAAGGATGCAATGGAAGCGGCGGCGGCGGCGGTCAGACCCATCGCCGCCAAGGTTTTCAGGGACTAGGATGAATGAGGGGTGTAGACTTGAGTTGAGCGGCGTCCGCGTAATTGAAGTGCGTAATCTTTTCCCACGGCCCAAAGAATGGGAATTTGCAGGGAGCTCCTTAATTTACCGTAGTTGTAGCAAGTTGATCCTTAGTTTTTAATATAGTTATTACCTAGCTTCGTTAGTTCTCCATGTGTGATTTAGAGTGCCCGTGTCCCTCGCGAATGACACGTCATCTCTTTCGAACTAGTTTATATCTTACCACGTTGTTCAATAATCAATGTCTCTACACACCTTCATCCACGTCCTTTCAATTAGCTCGCACGCAAGTGAGCCTCTGAACTAGACCCAAATATAAACCATGAAGTCACCTCCTAGCATGACAAAGATGTCATTGGTGAGCCCATGAAAAAATATTATCCCTCATGTCATAACTAGACCTAATTAGAGGTTCAAGAGGTTATCGCCTCAGCCCCAACTTTTTAAGAGGCCCAAAAAAATTTTTTTTGCTTCCTGCTTTATTTTAAAAAGCGGTAATTACACAAATCCTTACTTTAAGTATTCGACATTCTAAAGTCAGGTGGCAAGTTTAATATTTCAAAAATCAGATGTTTTAATTAATATATTATTAAATTCAATTAATTTAGAAATCAACCCTACCTACCAACCTCCCTTCACCCACCCACCTCATTTCCCCCAAACCCCATTCTCTCTCTACCTATCTTCTCTCGCTGCTCTCCTTCTCTCTACAAATCTCCTTATCTCTACAACTCTACCTTTCTATCTTTTTGCTCTCTGTTCTCCCTCATTAGCATCACCGGCGACCCATTTATCTCCGGTAACCGACGACAAATGAGATGCGCCTGTCGACGCCGCCAGAACGGAGACGCTGCAATCCTTCGGTTCTCTTTTCCGATTTGGCGGAAGCTGAGCCGTGATCTGATCAGCGCGCTTCATCGCCTCATTGGCTAGCTCCAGCAACTTCTTCGACGCCGCTTTGACGCCTACAGCTCTTGTGATTGCTTTGCGACTTCTTACGCGAAGCTCCTAGCTCTTTGTCGAAATCCAACACTACGTGGAGTGGGTTGAGGGATGGCGGAGTAGGGTTAGAGCATGTGAAACGATGGTGGTGACGGTGTGGTGCCGAATTTTTGGTTTTTGTTTCCAATTGTGGTTTTCAGGTCGTGAAGTGGTGGCGATATGGCGGCAAGGTAGGGGATGTTGTCGTAGCCTTGCACCAAATTGGAACTGCATCCATCATCAAGATTGTGACCATGAATTGATGATGGTTTTTTATGTCTATGTTTGGTTTTGCAAAGGGTGGCGCGATATTGTTGGTGTTGGAGATTGTCATGATTTTTGGTTTGCCGTCGATTGATGAGGCTGTGTTGGCGACGTTAGTGATGGTGGTTGTGGTGAGTTGTCGGCGGTGGTGGCAGCGACGGAGTAAGGTTAGGGCATGTGAGACGGTGGTGGTGGTGAGGTGGTGCTATATAGTGTGACCAATTTTGTGACCGAGCCATGTGTTGTGACCTGTGCTGTGACCTATGTTGTGACCTGAGCCATGTGCTGTGACTATCAACAAAAATTCGAGCGTTTGAAAATAACATGGGACTATGAACAAAATCTTGACCTGTACTGTGACACTGTGAAAATAACATGAGACTATG